AGTGCAAGTGCTTTTCCATCACTGAAAGAGACTGAAGGTGACAGTTGCCTTGAGGAAACTTGTATTGGGAGATTCTCAGCGTTATTTTCTGTTAGCCAGGCTGTTTGCCCTTAGTCAAAGGAGGAGGCCTTAGAGACCAAGTACTTGGCTAAAGTGTAACCATTACCTTTCTGTGCCAGATGTTACATTTCAAGGACTTCAGTATATCTGTGCTGTTGCAGCTGAGGTCATGACTTGTGACCACAGCTTGACCTTACTCTTTGGGAAACAAGATGTGTCAACCCACAACAACTGAGACCTACTAAATTTTCCCCTAGAACCTCCTTTTGGATGACTCAGGACATGTATTTCCTTAGACACATCTATACAGCCCATGGAGTTCCCTGCAGAGACACCAGCTAGTTTCCCCAGCATGTCTTTGTGCTGCTGATGTGTGCTTGTGTCTTTAAAAGAGCAGAAGAAAATTGCTGAGGGTAGCTAGTGTAAGCAAGCCCTGTGTCAGGGGAATGGCTTTTTAGTAGTGTTATTATTTTGTCCCCCTTGGTAAAGAGAAAAAGAGCATGTCTTCTAGATTTTCTTACCCTGATAATTAAATTTCGTTTAAACATATCTGTGTAACTTGTAAAAGGGGCACTGCAATTTATTTCCTTTCAGCAGAGTCATGGGTTTGATGATTTCTTCACTTATTTCAGGCAGTTGTATTCAAAGAAGTGTTTGTTGCTTTGAGGAGATTTTCCATTATGCTGGTATTCTGCACCCTTGGTGTGTCCACCCAAACAGTAAAGTTCTCTGGAGAAAAGACAATGACCTGAGAAGTAAATGAACTAGCTGTAGTGTATCACTGTACAAAAATGGGTCTCCTCTTTCATGTATGTATCCAATAGTAGGGATGCTAGTGAATAGCTTTTCTGGGGTGACTTCTCACATTCAGCCTTTTATTATCTGGATCTTGCTACCAGTAAAAGAGCAGAGGAGAAATGGAGCACAGCTCTGCACAGCTTCAAAAACCAGCAGTCTGTGAAACTGGAACCCTGCTTGGCCCAGCTCTACAAAATGATGTGTCTCAGTGATGCAGAAACCACCCTCCATCTCACTCCTTGCACTGGTTTTTTGAGTGTTGAAATATGAACAATGGAAAATTTATGGTTTTAGTCCTAAAATGTTCTGTTTATCTTCTCCCTCTTAGAAAATGATTCTAAGGAAAAACTCCACTATCCAGTGTCTGTATCTGTGCATCCAGCAGGACAAGGAGCAGAGGGGGAGACACCACACCTGGTGAGAAGTGCCTTAAGATTACCTTTAAAGTATTTATTCAACTCCTGGGAGGGAGGAGTCTTAAGACTAAGCAGGTGAAAGAGCTGACAGGAAGGGGTTTTGGCTTTACATGTAGGCCTTGGAAAAATTCCTATTTTTAAAACAAGACCAGGCCTTGTTCCTTTGTGAGGACCTGACTGTCAGCAACCTTTTAGGTAAGAAATGAAGACGTAGCTGTTGTGTGAAGAAAACCAGTATTAATGGAGACTGGGACATGAAAGTCCTGGCCAGGGTACACCTGGACAGATGGAAAGGGAACAACAGAATCTGCTACCTCACTAGAAACCCACAAGGACTCTGAGAGGGAATGATAGAGTGCAGGAGCTTTTCCTCTGCAACTGCAAATTTGTGTTTCTGAATACAAAAGATTCCTCTTCCCTGTAGCTAGCTTTTATTCTTAGGCTTTTCCTTTATTTTATCTTGGCCTTCATGATTTTTTTTTTTTTTTTTTTTTTTTGAAGGACTACCAATCAGTGTATAACATAACTCTATTTTGGATGCTTGGCACTGCTTTCTTATCTGTTTTTTTTTGTTGTTGTTTCTACAGCTTGTGGAATCATATACGATGAAAAATAACCCCCATGGTTACTGTGTGATTCTTAACAACTACAAATTTAAAAATCCATTTGAAGCCAGAGAAGGAACAGTGAAAGATGGAGGTAAGTACTTTTAAAATCAATTTACTAGTTTGTGTTTTTCTCTGAAAGAAGAATCTTTCCTATGAAGAAGAATGATGTCCACTGAGCTCTTGTGCCTCCAGAGTAACTAGAATGACAGTAACTGTAGAAATTAGAATACGCCACTTCCAACAGTTTAGCTGATGGCTTAAAGAAGGAACCGCTTTCTGTTCTAGGTAAAAAGCATTGTCTCAATTGGCCATATATACCAATTAGTGAAGGAGGGATTACTATTCCACCTTTTCACTTTTTGATTTTTTTAAATTCTTAGCTATCATTGAGTAATATTTTTAAGACTTTAAATTCTATTTAAGGCTCAAATAAATGCTACTGCTTTATAATTTTCCTTAAAGCCTGTCTTCCTGCAAGAGGCACTTTTCAGATAAACAAGAATATCTTAAAAAGTAAAATCTGTTTTATGAAGCACGTAGCACTGGTCCTTTTAACTCCATCCATCCAGTCTACAAGCTGCTTGCTTCCCAGCTACTTTCTCACCACCCACAACAATTAAGTCAACATTTGCTGAGAAGTCTGCATAGCATTTGTTAGCAGGTTACCCTGCCTTCCTTCTTGCTGCTTTGATCATTCTCAGAATGAGGGACCTACTTAATTTAAGAGTGGCAGAATTTGTTGTTCTAAAGAGGTACCTCTTCTTTAACTTGCTACGTGTTGTCATTAAGCATCTGAGATTACTATGCAATGAACAGTTAAAGCTTGCTTTAACACAGTAAACTTCACTAATTTGTACCAATTAATAAGGTAATCTGCAACCTGGTTTTGTTACGAAGCTTAACCCAGTTGTGTTTAAAAATAAATAAAATAAGGCATTTGAGTTTTTCTAACTAGATTTGGCAGGCTAAGAGTCAGTCACATGAGCTGACTCATGGGATCTGAACACTTTTCCTAATACCTGTTCTACTGCACAGACACTGATGTTTCAGCATCTTCCTTGTCACTGTTTATGTTTAAAAGTGCCTTCTGACTTTTTTCCACAGAGGCTGTGAAGAGAGTCTTTAGGTGGCTTCAGTTTGAGACAGTTGAGCACATGGATCTAGAAGCAAAGCAAATGTATGCAAAAGTCAAAGAATACAGCAAAAAAGATCATAGTAACATGGACTGTTTTGTTTGCTTCATTTTTTCCCATGGTGAGAAAGACAAAATAAAAGGCGTTGATCATGAGTTTGTAAATATTAAAGATTTAGTCTCCTGCTTCAGTGGATCTAATTGTCCTTCTCTTGCTGGCAAACCTAAGCTGTTTTTCATCCAGGCTTGCCAAGGCTCTGTAGGTCATCCAGCTGTGACAGTAAAAGAAGACTTTTCTGGCCATCTTGAGACGGATGCTACCCCTCTGACTTCCATTCCTGATCAGGCTGATATTCTGGTTGGCATGGCTACAGTGGAAGACTATGAGTGCTACCGCTGTACAAAGACTGGCAGTGTTTATGTTCAGTGCCTTTGTGACAAGATAGAGGTGCTTTGCCCACTGTAAGTACTAATTTTAATCCATGTGCATTTAGGGTATTGCAGACACACACAGTAAAGCATGCTGTGCTGAAATGTCAGTGTTTTGCATTTATGCGATATAATGCTTTTCACCTGTAGGACAGTGCAGAACAGTAATTATTCTGGGACTGGGAATTGTTAATCTTCTACAGATGAACCTAAGTATAAGTGACTTCCCCTAGTTTGCCTGTGACAGAATCAGGGTCGTAATGCTGAAACATTATGTATAAACTAATTTGTATATGTGTGTGCACGTTTTTTAACATTTTTTCACTGATAAATGAGTTTTCTTCCAGTGGCACCTTATGAGAGATGAATTTGTTGAATGATTACACAGACAAAAAAATCTGTGCTCTTTAGTAATAATTTTCATTGTTGCTTCTCTCCCAACCCCATCATAAACTTGATTTACAGAATAGAATTTCTTTTCAAACATCACTTTCTCCTGGTGTCCAGAGGAGGGTTTGGAGAATGCATAGGTCTGGTTCTGTTGCATCTTCATGCGCCCTTCTGACTATAACCAAAGCAGGGACTGTGTTTGCTGGTAAAGCAGTGCTATGGAGAGGTTGCTTTTATTCCCCCACGCACACTGAATTCTGTCATTAGACAATGGAGTGTGCAATTTCAGTGACAGGTGGAGTGAGGGAAAGACACTAACCACTTCATTAGAGCAAACATAGATCAGCTGCTTGGCATAGCTGCAAGTGCCATGTATTTCAATGTAATTTTTCTTCTTTTTTGGTCAAGTCGCAAGGACCTAATAACCATCCTGACAGAAGTGAACAAGGAAGTGGGAGCAAGAGTATTAAATGGATGTAAGCAGATGCCAAAGATAACATCAACCCTACGGAAGCAATTGATCTTCCAAATTCCACAATGTCAGTCAACTGAAAAGTAGAGAAATAAGAATACATTCAGTTAGGAATCACATCTGGAATGGACTTCCACAGGGAAGAGAATTTTGCAAGAGAAATTACCTGGATCTGTGTAATTAGCCCCAGTCCTTCAAGGGGCCATGGGACCTAAATCCAATTCCCATGTTTAATCAGTCTCCTAGCAGCTGGATCTGTAACAGTCTGGTAAGGTTGTGGAGGAGTACGCATCTGGCTTTCTATCCTGCAGAAATGCGTAAGATTGTAACTGATATGCTCAGAGGTGAATCATTCGCTGTCTCTGTTATGGAAAATAACATCCCTGTCCAGAAGGACCAAACAAAAATGATGATGATGATGATGATAATACAAGTTTGGCTCTTTTCCTCCAAATACTTGGTTAGCTTTATGTTATTAATTTACTTGGCTAAGCAGTACTCCTGTTTAGGATTTTTAATAGTAAGGGTTCTAATTGTGTTTTTTCTCAGAGCTCTCGGGGGACAGTCTGTTTTGAATGGCTGTTGACTGCTGGAAGGAAGGTCCCACTCCATTAGATCTACTACTCTTAAGATGCCTTCTGGCAACTGACTCAAGTTCCTGTGGACTCATTTCTGTTGTAATAAATATTCTTGGTTTTCACATCACCTTTTTTTGTGGTGTGTTGCTCTTTTGGATGAGCTGACTGAGGGACAGTCAGCGTGACAAACATTTTTAATTCAGCAGAAGTTACTTTGCTCTTGTTGAAGTATTCAGTGGCAGCCACCCCGAGGGGTAGCATATTAATATCCCTTCATTAGCAGCTGGAGAGATGGTAGGAAAGAAGATGTTTAAGTTCAGGACTTTCATGATAATGGCAGCTGATGCCAGTGAGGCTGTTCTTACCTTGCATCCTCAGTAATGTGTAGGTGGTGTGGGGGAGCTGTATGAGATTCTAACAACGGCTGCATTCCATTTGAGTTTATAACAAGATAAAGGATGGATTTGAGACACTTTAACTTCTGCTTTTTTAGTTTGTATTTTTTGGAAATCTATGTATAGCCATAAAGCAGGGCTACTTTGCCCATCCTCCCTCTCATTCAACTCCTGTCTGGGAGGCAAAATGCTATAGCAAAAGTCCTGGCACTCAATTCTGTGTTTTATTTTCAGACAGCAGAAACACTACCACCAGAAAGTGGAACCAGAAGGTTGATAAGAAAGCAAAGGCAGTGAGTTGAAGTCCTGTAGGCTTAAGCTGAAAGGAGGCAAGATCAGAGTGATGCTGTTTGAAAAAAGAAATGCTTAGAAGAGCTGGGGAGGGCTGTTAGCTGCAGAGGCGGAAATGTTATTCAGTGGCATGGATCCCTGCCCAGTCATTTGTGTCTTGCTACCTATTTGCTCAGTTTGACATCAGTTTCCCGGACAGCCGTTTATACCCGCCTTCTGTGGGAAGTTTGTCCTTCTCTCCACCATAATGGTTTTAGGGTGGCTTGTTAATGTGCTGCTCTTGGGATGGGTTAGTGGTATGTATGAGCAACCGGACGATGTTAGATTGCTACCAGCTTCTCCCATTGCATGGGTTGTTGTATGTGTTTTTCCACCACTTATATAAGGGTTCATGCTTACTTCTCAAAGTGGTGCAAAATTCAGGCACTGCAGAGTTCTGATTACTTGAACTGTTGGCTATGTCTGTGGTCTGTAAGATCTCCTGCAGGAAATCTTGAAGTGGAAACAAAATACACACCTTTTAGGAGATTAAGCTGTGCAGTAGAGAGTCCAGAGCTAGATTTTTCTCAGGACATGTTGGGTATTCAGCCCTTGCTGGTTACCCTTTTTGTTATGACCCCTAACTGACATGGGTGCATTCTCTCTGAAATTATTCAGATCTGCTTTTTTTCAATTAGAGATGTATCAAATTAGGAACAGAGAATGGCATGTTTAATCTGCAGTGACTTCTGTGCAATGCACTAAAAGATATAGTTGAAATCTTGGGAATGCCCAGATATTTATTTCCATGTATCCTTTCTTTAATTGTACCTTTGCTGAATTCCCCAAGCTCAGAATGTGGCTGGCTCTTGTAGGTGCTAACTTTTCTAGCTAGGTGGAATGTTATTCTGAACATGTCTTCTGAGCTTGGCCTAGGTCTTTTACATTAGTTTTGTATTTGTGTAGCCACTTTGTGTTTAGGCCTGATTTGTCCAGGTGTATCAGTGCAAAGAGAAGAATCCATACCTCCTCCTATTTACTAGGAAGAGCTTGTTTTCACATGACTTGAGGGCATGTTAACTATGGGCTGTTAAAAAGTGTCTTGCCATGTTCAGATTACTTCCACCTTTGACCCAACTTTCCACACATGCAGTAATCAAGTATCTTGCATAGCGTTTTGAACCTTGATACGCCACTTCTGTGATAACAATGTAAAGATTTCTGCCTCATAGATTGTCAAACTGTTTTTCCTGGGTTTTGGTTTTGTTTTGTTGGTTTGGGTTTTTGTGGG